TGACTCCACTTCTTTTTCTTCTGCAATATGGACAAGAATGCTATCCGCTACCATCGGCATCGCCCCCTCCAAGCGCATCTTCAGAATCTTCTTCTACCACCCTGACACCAGCATGACAGCTGCCGATGCCAAAATAAAGGAGCTGCACAAGTTCGATGCCCTCAATTATCGGGCTACCTTTCACGGAGCTAATGCTCCAGAGCGGTGCCTACAGCTTTGATGACGAAGTGAGATTTGAAAGTGTGAACTCAGCGTGAAGGAGCGGCGGGTTGTGGTACTGCTGGATGAAGAAGTGAAGCGAATGGGCAACCACAGGGAAAAATTTGTCCGTATGGTCCACCTTCATCATGATAGTGCAGCCCACTCCGTCCATATAAGGTTGTGTCGAACCTCATGCGATAGAGCTGGATGGCTCTCCCCTTGCACCGGTGTAGACATTGCTCCTTCCAATTGTTGTTTGCCCCACGTAATTGACCGTTACATGGGCAAGAAAGCCTTTACGACCCGAGCCCCGGTTAAAATTGAGATGAACTCTGTGTAGCGCCGGACTGCAGTGTGAAGCGACGGCATCCATGAGGTGCTAAAAAACTGGCGAGAACCCCACAGTGACATTGCTGTATAATTTTGACCTTGCACGTCACTCTATAAAAAGCCTAATTTGAAAAAATATGACAGAACTTTCTTGCCAACCTAATGCTATCGAGCAAGCATAGGTATAGCTTCTTTCCCTAGATGGTGAAGAAATTTCAGTTCGTCTTCAGTACCTAGCTGAATTGAAACAAAAATTTTACACTTGTATGAGCCAAGTAACTGGGAAATGCCGCGTGTTAATCTCTATGTCACTCTATCACTGTTTCTAGGATCCCCTGCCGGCTTCTCAAGGCGAGATGTCTCAGCATTCTGTCATGTGTCTGCACTCCCTTAGGCGGAACCGGTGCTGCTGGGCTGCGGAGAAATGGAGAGAGGGCGTGAAGGTTAGGACCTAGACGACTGCAAACGAGTCTGATTGGCTGGGTCGACGTATGCCTCCATCGCCAGTTCCAGTAGAACTTGCGACGCCCTTTCCTCTTCCCTAAGCGATGTAACGCGAAGACCCTGTTCAGCCTACTGCACTCTCGCAGCCAAAGATGTTTAGTTGTTGTAATATATCTTGCGAAACATCTGCGTCAACTGCTAAGGTATGAGCAGGAGCACAAATACCCTAAGTTCTATCCGTCGTTGGATTACGTTTATGGTGTAAGGCAGACTATGCGACGTCAAAGAAGTACATCAAAAATTCCACAGAGCAGATTCTTCTTCATTTGCTCACCCTTGAGCTTCCATTTCTTTAGCGATTCAATTTTTTTCCGGGACAAGCAATGGGTTTTCACTGAAAGTAAGGCTTCCAGATGCCTGCGCTGGGTTGGCGGCCATCGCAAGTTGCACGAACGGCTCCTGTGGCTCCTTTGCATGTACGTCATCTAATTACTGCTGCGAATGTCAATTTGGTCGAACCAGCGGGCTATGCAAAGATGTGAGGAATTTGTGGCATTTCTTGGTTCATTATAGTTAGTCATTTTTTTCATTTCTTGGTTCATTATGGCTGGTCATTTTTTCAATTTTTTTTCATCAGGGATGCAGTCCAGGATTTACTTGCTCTGGCAATAATTACTGCTGTCCTTCGTGTCCAAGCGGTTAGTTTTTATCTGAAAAAATACTTTCAGGACATTGTATCGAAACATTTCAAAACGAAACTATTTTATAAAAGGGCTTCTCGATTCAGTGTAAAGACTGACTGCAACTTTTAGAACGAACGAACCACCTTTTTTCTGTACCGCAAAGTCAAGCTCAGTGTTTGACTCGATGATTAAAAAATAGGTCTTCCTCACCTCAATTATGAGATTCGCCAGCTGTAAAAAAGACATAGCCTCATGAATGAAAGATTGTGAAAAAAAACGATGAAAACGCATTACGCGGGTATGCAAAAGTAGGGGTTTCCCCCTATAAAAGATGCATTGAGCCCTAAGCCCATTGGGGTGCCGCGTAGAATGTGCGTAACAAAGCTGCGAGAGGCACGAGAAATGAGTAAGTCTCCACCTGCCAGCGCGGGCAATCACCCATCAGTTGACCGTTGCGCTTTTTTCGAGCCCCATCCTACCTGCTCGTCGAATTCAGTCCCTTCCCCGTCTTCAGTATCCTTACTCTACTTTATTTGCTGTTGTTCGTCCAACTACAGAACAAACGGAAAGACCTTATTCCGGAGAGAGCCGGGATCAACAGCTTTTTCAGCACTTCTCCTCACTATTAAGTAAAAAAAACATCTCCAAACTCGTACTTAAGACCTAATGCATGAATTGCCATCAGAAAAAATTCCCGAAGCGACATATATTTCAGTTTTCTGTCTTTTCTGAAATCTGTAAATTCATTATTCTTATTCGAAAATAAGATGGACTAATCTGTAGTGATCTGATCTCTTTGAATTGATTACTTCCTTGATTTCTCCTCAAATGGGCGATGGAGTGAATTGAGGGAGTGGCCAATGACTAGGTTTCTATTTAACCCCAAACCCTGGTGGGTAAAAGATTTACTCAGGCTGGATGGGATGCTACCTTAGAGGGCCATTTTCTGCTTCCTAATCACTACAGCGAATATTTGTGTGAGACCAACAGAAATGAACTCTCGTATTGTGATGAAATCTTGCACCACGTGCGTGAAGTCATTTCGCTATTGCTGGGTCCATACTTCTCCTATGGGTCCCATTGGTCACCTCCTGTTTATTCTGTGAGCAGCTCTTCCCGCACCTTCACGCAGTTAAAACAAGATAAAGTTCTCTCTCTCTC